GAAAAGATTATTCTGGTTAAGATACTCATACATTTGATCATACATAATTCTTTCCATAAGTTTACTTACTACAGGAAGGATTGATATCGGTCTATAGTTGTCCAACATGGACCGCTGACCTTTCTTAAACAATGGAATAACCCTTGCATGCAGCTTTCCAATCAGAAGGAAATTGATCCGAGTCAATTGACATATTAAAAATCTCAGTAAGAGAAGGTGCAATAACTGGAGCTGCTACTTGTAGAATTTTAGCTGAAATTTTATCCATTCCAGTCGCTTTGGTGGTAGACAAATTAACTAGAAGAGTGTAAACCAGTGTTACACTCACTGGTCGAAATGAGAAACTGTTCTTTGTCTTAGATTTTTGTTGAGTAATAAAATCTCGAAAACTAACGTCATTGTCATTTGGAATAGACTCAGCAAGCTTTGGGCCAATATTACTAAAATGATCATTAAAAATGTCGACTAATTCGTCGGTCGATGTAACAGTTTTACCTGGAAGTTTAATTTCATTAATCGTAGTCTGTTTTCTGTTTCGACCTAATATATCGTTTATTGTTCTCCAAGCATATTTAGGATTCTGTTTATTAGTTGTGAATTTGTTTGCATAATAATCTCTTTTAGCACTGCGCAAAGCAGTGTTAGCAACATTTCTAGATGGCAACATTTCAGTTCGTCTAGAGCAAGTTCAGATTGAACGTGTTCGTTTTTACGGCCAGTAATAACTCTAGCTGCCCTATTTTGTAGTTTCTCGAGTCGATCAGAAAGTGTGGCACCAATGGTGTCCCAAACTTCGCAACAATAATCTATAGGTGTGGAAGTATAAGTGCATCATTATAAGCACAAATTAATGTATTATGATCCACACAAGATTTTAGCTTTCTGACCGCCCCAATTCCGGATGAAATCTTCTTAGCAATTTTATCAATATGCTTATCCCACAATAGAAATTCGTCAATATGAACTCCAAGCGCTTTTGTTTCTTTGACCTTTTTAATTGGTGTATCACCAACAAATACATTTGGAGCAGCAAGTAAATTATTTTTGTTGTACCGAGATCCTATTAGTAGATACTCAGTTTTGACTAGATTAAGAGATAATCTATTTGCAGAAAGCCATTGTTTAACGTTGGTAAGGTCATGATTTATGGCCACCTCTACATCTTGGATTGACTTGCCAGATACAGTTAGAGTCGTATCGTCGGCAAACATTCTTGTCGACGAGTACTCCAAACTGTTAGGCAGATCATTAATGTAGATCAAGAATAAGAGTGGGCCAAGAATTGAACCTTGAGGGATTCCACATGTAACCAACTTCGTGCCCGACAGAGCGCCATTAACGGAGCACATTTGGGTTCTATTCGCTAAATAGGATCCTAAAAGGTTTAATGATGGCTTCTGTAGGCCATAAAGATCAAGTTTCGTTAAGAGGATGTCATGATTTATGGTGTCGAACGCCTTTTGTAAGTCCAGAAAAACAGCTATATTAAACAAACCACGGTCCATATTAATAAACTATTCATTTGTACTATCTAAAAGAGCAGAGGCTGTAGAATGAAACTTCCTGAAACCAAATTGACGAGGGGACAACAACTCCTGTGTAACAAGATACTCATGGAGTTGTTCGTATAATACTTTTTCAAAAAGTTTACTTACTACAGGGAGGATAGAAATGGGGCGATAGTTGTTTAATAAGTTTCGTGGGCCGTTTTTAAATACGGGAGTGACTCTTGCTATTTTCCACTCAAAAGGAACAGTTGAACTTATAATGGCCACATTGAAAATTTTTGTCAATGAGTTTGTAATTACAGGAGCAGCAATGCGAATAATTTTAGCAGGGATTTTGTCAATTCCAGTAGATTTACGAGGATTTAGAGATAACAGAAGTCTGTATACGTTCGACTCAGACACTGTTTGAAAATTAAAGCTACTAGTTGTTGTCGTGATGTAATCCTTGAAATTTCTGTCACCATTGTCGATATTTTTGGCAATATCTGGACCAATATTGGTGAAATAATTATTAAAACACTCCGCTAACTCCGTTGGATGTGAAATTTGTCCTCTCTGTGTTTCAAGACAATTTATTTCTCTACTTTCTTGTTTACGGTTTAGGATTTTATTCACAGTTTTCCATGCTTGTTTGGGATCATGTTTGACTTTCTTAAATTCTCCTTTATAATATGCTGCTTTTGTTTCTCGCAATGCATCAGTTACGCGATTTCTAGAGGTTTTGTATGCGTTCCAGTAATTTTCGGATTTATGTCTAATAGCAAGAGATTTAAGGCGATCGCGTTCGTGGATTTGTTTTTTAATTGTACTAGTGAGCCAAGGAACATTTGGTTTACTTTTAACTCTCTTTTCCCTGATTGGGGCATGCCTATCAAGAACTTGTACGAAAAGTGTTTTCCATGTGTCCCACATCTTATCAACGCAGAGATTGTTATCTAATAATTCCCATTCCTGACCACGCAGGTCAGCTTGAAAACTCTCAGCATTGAAATATTTTAAATTACGAATTTCAACTTTCTTGTGACTGTTCTGTTTGCGCTGGATATTTATTTTACGAACAACGAAGATCATGTAATGATCACTAATGGCAATCGGTATTACTTGTGATGTTATTAACTTAGTTGGAGTGGGAGTAAGACAAACGTCTATTAGGGAGGATGAGGTCGTGGTCACACGGGTGGGTGTGTTTATCGTTTGCGATAATTGATATAATTCCATGATTGAATTTAAATTCTTTGTGGCATTGTTTGAGGTGTCAAGCATGTTAGCATTTAAGTCACCAAGTATGTAAAATTCCTTATTTTCATCATCTATTGTTTTTACTAATTGCTCAATTGTGGCAAAAGAGACAACAGAAGCACTTGGAGGTCTGTAAATAGTACCGACAATAAATGGTGCAGTGGAAGGTTTGCGAATCTCAACACATATAGCTTCGAGATTATCTCTAGTCAGATCTTTTCGTTCTAAATAGTTAAGGGAAGTTTTCACATATAAACAGACGCCTCCCCAAGTTTGCACATATAAACAGACGCCTCCCTCCCGCCGTTCCCAAGGTGGTTATAATCACGAATTAACTTCTCATAGTTCGGGTTATCAATAGTTAATAGTTCTGGTGTTTCCGCTTTGGCCATTCTCACGTTCATTTTGAAATTTCCGTCCATCCGGGTTGTCTTCGAGTCTAGGAGCATGTCAACACGTTGTACTCTGGATTCAATCGGTTTACTATCAATCATCTTAATCAGCTTTGCCGAGGCATACGACCACTGATCAGTGCATATGGCCAGAATCAATTAGTGCACGACACTTGACACTTTACACCGTTACCACGACTACCGGGAAAACACCATCACCGCTGACACCGTCTGTCATCAGTTTGCACTCCCCTTCGGGGTTTTGTTGCACTGATCTGAAATAAGACTGGATAACGCATCTACAGTAACCTGAGTATCAGGCTCTATTTTACAAATAGAGCCTGACACAAAACTTAACCTGATCGCTTTCCGCCCACAGCAAAGTTTATATTTAGTATCCAATCAAAATGTCGCAGGAGAAATTTAAATTTCACACAACGACAACAACAATCTAATTATAGCATAGGCGCCCACTAAACTGCTGAATTTAAATTAAAACTGCAGTGAACTTATAAAATTAACAAAAATAATCACAAATTAACGAAATATATTGCAAATGTAGCTTATATTAAATCGCCACCCGATTGCTCTCTCCTCCGCAGCGGTTTCAGTGACTACAATGAGCTTTACATGGCGCTTGCCGTATTTATCAACAAACAGTGACGTATAATTATAAAGTATATATATTAAGTATACTTTATAACTATACGTCAGTCGATAGTGCAATCTGATGGCGATTTAATATAAGCTACATTTGCAATATATTTCGCTAATTTGCGATTATTTTCTAATTTTACTGCAGTTTTAATTTAAATTCAGCCGTTTAGTAGGCCGGCTATAATTGTAGTTGTGATCGTTATAAAATATATCAACAACAATAGTATAAT